CGGTAGTTTGAGTTTCCGATATGGCTGCAAATAACATTGACAGTTTTCACGCTATGACAGTCATTTATGCATCATTTTAAAGCATTATGATTGCACTTTAATATGGTATATCATTTGTAGCATAATGTGTATTTTCACAAATTGGTCAATTTGATAGATCGGTAGAATTATTGTTCTATGTTTAATAAACGCAGTAATCTGAGGTTCCGATATGGTTGCAATTAACTTTGACAGTTTTCGTGCTAGGACAGTCGTTTATGCACCATTTTAAAAAAAAATGGTGCATAAAAAAAAGCATTAAAATTGCCATTTGTTTTGGTATATAATTTATTGCATAATGTATTTTTAGAAAATGGCCAATTGGATAGATCGGTAGAATTATTTTCCCAGGTTTAAAAAGGCGGTAATTTGAGGTTCCGATATGGTTGTGAATAACTTTGACAGTTTTCATGCTATGACAGTCATTTATGCATCATTTTAAAGCATTATGATTGCACTTTAATTTGGTATATCATTTGTGGCACAATGTGTTCGTCTGAAAAATGGTCAATTTGAAGGATCGGTAGAATTATTGTCCTATGTTTAAAAACGCGGTAATTTGAGGTTCCGATATGGTTGCAAATAACTTTGACAGTTTTCATGCTAGGGCAATAGTTTATGCATCATTTTAAAGCTTTACAGTTGCACTTTATTTTGGTGTATAATTTGTGGCATAATGAATTTTTACAAAAGTTGGATAGATCGGTATATTTATTGGTACAGGTTTAAAAATGCGGTAATTCAAGGCTCCGATATGGTTGCAAATAACCTTTATAGTTTTCATGTTATAACAGTCGTTTATATATCTATTTATTGTATTATAATTGCCATTTGTTTTGGTATATAATTTATTGCATAATATATTTTTAGAAAATTGCCAATTGGATAGATCGGTAGAATTATTTTCACAGCTTTAAAAAGGCGGTAATTTGAGGTTCCGATATGGTTGCAAATAACATTGACAGTTTTCATGCTATGACAGTCATTTATGCATCATTTTAAAGCATTATGATTGCACTTTAATATGGTATATAATTTGTAGCATAATGTGTGTTTTTACTAATTGGTGAATTTGATAGATCGGTAGAATTATTGTTCTATGTTTAATGAACGCGGTAATCTGTGGTTCCGATATGGCTGCAATTAACTTTGGCAGTTTTCGTGCTAGGACAGTCGTTTACGCACCATTTTAAAGCATTAAAATTGCCATTTGTTTTGGTATATAATTTATTGCATAATGTATTTTTAGAAAACGGCCAATTGGATAAATCGGTAGAATTATTTTCCCAGGTTTAAAAACGCGGTAATTTCAGGTTCCGATATGGTTGTGAATAACTTTGACAGTTTTCATGCTATGACAGTCATTTATGCATCATTTTAAAGCATTACAGTTGCACTTTGTTTTTCTGTATAATTTGTGGCATAATGAATTTTTACAAAAGTTGGATAGATCGGTATATTTATTGGTACAGGTTTAAAAATGCGGTAATTCAAGGCTCCGATATGGTTGCAAATAACTTTTATAGTTGTCATGTTATAACAGTCGTTTATATATCTTGTTATTGCATTATAGTTGCCATTTGTTTTGGAATATAATTTATTGCATAATATATTTTTAGAAAATTGCCAATTGGATAGATCGGTAGAATTATTTTCACAGCTTTAAAAAGGCGGTAATTTGAGGTTCCGATATGGTTGCAAATAACATTGACAGTTTTCATGCTAGGACATTAGTTTACGCATCATTTTAAAGCATTACAGTTGCACTTTATTTTGGTGTATAATTTGTGGCATAATGAATTTTTACAAAAATTGGATAGATCGGTATATTTTTTTTTTTTTTTTTTGTATATACTTTTTTATTCAAAAATAATTCAGTTACAATGCAAAAATATTAGTGCCTCAGCGCCAGTAGGCATTAGAGAGGCAAGTTGGCAATATTTCATTCATTTTAATAATAACTATTCTAAGTTTCATGTACATATAATATTTAAAAAATAAAAAAAAATAATAAAAATAGTTTATAGCATATCATTAATATTTGATATTAAATATTCTTTTAATAATTTTTTAAAATTCGAAAGTGTAGGGCACAATTTAATATATTCAGGTATATTATTATATTCTCTACTTCCAGAGCATTCTATGCGTTGTTTTGTTGTTTCTGTGCGGCAAAATGCTACTCTCAGTTGCTGATTATTACGAGTATTGTATGAATTTTGATCTCGAGCAAAACGAATTGTATGGTGACCTATGCCATTGAGACATTTGTATACATACAAAAGCATTTGTATTTTATAATTTCCACATATTGGCAAAATAGACGTAAAATGTTCTGTATATAAAGAATCGGTTGAATATCCCATTGGCAAATTTGCAACAGCTTTTAATGCTCTATTTTGAAGTCGCTGCAAGGAACGAATTTCAACGCTGTTCTTGTAAGCATAAACGAGAGCTAAATAATTTAAGTGGCTTTGGATTAAACTTTGATAAATCAAGAGTTTAGTCTTTTGATCAAATTTGTTTTTGAACTTATATAATAATCCAATGGCAGGGGATATTTTAGTTTTCAGATGTCTAATATGTTGATCCCAGGCAAGGTTCGATTGTAAATGTAATCCCAAATACTTAACTGAAGATGTCTCTTGAATTTCTCTACCATCAACATATATACTAAAATTTGTATTAAAACGTGAATGTGGTCTAAATCGAATCAGTTTAGTTTTCCCTGGATTAATAAAAAGTTTGTTTATTCGCATGTATTCAATTAATAGTGCTGTATCACGTTCCATGTATGGTTTTATAGCAGCCTCATATTTATATGGATAGAAAATAGATATATCATCGGCGTAAATAAACATCTTTCCCGTTAGTTGTAAGTTTTTAATATCATTCATATATATTACAAACAACAAGGGCCCCAATACACTACCCTGAGGTAATCCATACATAACTCTTGCTAAACTACTCTTATAATTATTGATTTGTACAAACTGCTTTCTATTTTCCAAATACGACTGTAGTAATAAAATATCACTACCACGAACGCCATAACATTGTAGTTTCTGTATTAAAATCTTGTGGTCTATCATTTCAAAAGCTTTTGACAAATCGTAAAAAATTCCAGCAACTCCATTGTTACCCTCATCAATCATTTTGCAAATACAATTTATGACATTAATTGTTGCTTCCTCCGTACCGCATCCTTTCCTAAACCCATACTGACAGTCGTTGAATAAGTCATTTTCTGCAAAATACTCCGATAATTGGTTATACAAAATTTTTCCAAATATATTATCAATTATTGGTAATACTGATATAGGACGAAATTGTTCAATTAATGTAGAGTTTCCATCTTTTGGTATGGGTATTACTTTGTGGATTTTTAAGGCATCAGGATATATTTTTGTATCTACAATATTATTAAAAATTTCAACCAAGTATGGTACAATAATACAACTGCAATTTTTATACACTTTGGGCGATATGTTGTCATATCCACAACTTTTATTAGTAGACAAATTTGATATTATATTCTCAACTTCACCAGACGTTGTGGTATTGAAGGTAAATACTGTATTACGACGACGTAAAGTTCTTAAGAATTAAAGTTATCTTCCGGATATTCCACCATTCCAAGCTTCAAATCTTGAACTGATTTCAAAAAATATGTATTTAAAGCTTCAGTCTTAACTAAGTCGCCTAAAATGATATCACCATGGCAATCCGTAAGGGTAGTTTCCTTGTCTGAAATTCTACCAAGAGTATCATTTAAGAACCTCCATGTCTTCCTAGGATCACTTTGTAGGCTAGTTAACTTATTGATATAGTAGTTATTAACGGAATCCTTATGTGCTTTTTTTATAACTTTACTAATTCTCTTAAGTTGATAATTTATATTTGCATTTTCAATATTTAATCTCCGAAGCTTTAACAATTTTCTTTTATAAGCAATTATTTTAATCAAGTTGCTATTAATCCAAGGAGTTAATTTACGTTTTAACATGTCATTATGATTCTTTGAAACTGTGGAGTGTTCAATAGCATCATTTATGCAATTTAATATGTTTTTTGTTTCAACTGAGGGATCATGAAAATGTGTTATTGCTTCTAATTGGCATTGTAAGTATGTTTTTAACTTTCCATAATCACACACCAAATAATTTTCTTGTATAACATTAGGTATTTGAATAACCATATCAATAGTACAATGAATTATGTTGTGATCTGATAACATACATTCAATTGAATTAATATTCATTCGTTTAGATATATTAGTGTAAACATGATCAAGACACGTATAACTGCTCGGGCGTGTAATTAATTTATGGCAATTGTTAAATCCAAAGCTTAATAATAAACTTAGAACATCACTAAATACAATTTCATCAATTGCATTTATATTAGCATCACCAAAAAATAGGCTAGGACTTCTCACATGACAAGATAGTAAATTTTCCAAAAATTTAATAAAATGCGATGGATTACATTTTGGGGATTTATAAAATGAGACAATGGTTAATGGTTTTCGGTTTATCTTAACATCATCCAATTTTAAAACAATATAATCTATGAAGCCTTCACTTGAACACTCAACTTCTTTTAGATTTAGGGTGTCTCGAATGAACAATGATATTCCACCGTAACCGTCAGAACGACAACAGTGTACAGATTTATATCCTGGAATTTTGTAAATATTAACTACATCTTCCTTAAACCACGTTTCTTGCACAGAAATAACAGCAGGTAACTTATAGAAACTAGATAGCAGAGATTTAAATTTGTTAAACTTAGCAACAGATGATATGCTCCTAATATTTACAGAAATAATATCAAAGCCATAATAATCAAAATTTTTAACGTGTTTGTTAAATAAATAAAGGTTTTGAAAATACAGATTATTTAACATAATAATATATAATTAAAATTTAATACAAATACAATAAGCAATTAAAATTTGTTTAAGAAGGTGATTCATAATCGTTATCAGAATTTTCATCCGTATGAGGCACTTGTGATTGCCGAGGCGGGGGCTGGAAAGTTGTTGCTTCAGATAATAATTTATCAACATCATCTTCACATTTTAATAGCCTTGGTTTGGATGTCTCGTTTCTTTTGGCAAATATTTTAGCACCTCTTGAATAAACAGCTTTGTACCCCACGGTCTTCAAAGATCGCGCATATTTTAAAAAATTCATTGTTTCTCTGCTCAAATAGTCATTTATATATATATTCTGAGTTTCCTCCTTTTCTTTCAATTTTCTTTTCATCGACATCAATTCAGCTTTAGGTTTTTGTGAACAAAATTTTACCACAACAGATTGAGATTTATTACTTTTGTTTTTCAGAAAATAGGCATCACTTATGTTTTCGGGCTTCACGGTAACACCAACATCTGCTGATAGTTTTACTACTGCATCAACAGCTGTCACATTTTCATTTTGCTTTACACCAGTTATCACACAATCGTTTTGCACTCGTTGGTCGCTGAGAAACTTAACAGAGCTTTTCAAACTATTAATCTCAGATTTTAATGCTTTATTCTCTTTTTGTACGATTTCCAATTTTTTCTTGTTTTCTGCTACACCTTTAAGAATGTCATCAAACTGTTTCGACATGAATGTCATTGTCTCATGTAAACTACTCAGCTGATCCAATTTCTTTAACTCTGTTTTGATCGCATTTAGTTCAACGGTTATAGAAGCACTGGTGTTGTGGATGTTATTGTTGTTATTACATACATGACACACAAATTCTTCTTTTTCGTTTGCTAACAGATGATTAAACTGACGTTTGTTTAACAAAGTACAAACTACATGAAAAGTTTTGTTGCACTTATCACAATCTATGCTTTCATCACTTTCTTCTATTTCTAGATTGCACTGGGTACAAAATAACTTTTTATTAATAAAGCTTCTCCTGCTTGATGGAGCCATATTTAAATATTTCCACTTTCTTTATAAATTTCTTTTAAGAAAGCACTAGATTTTAACAGTTTTTATCAACTTTTTTATTTATATTATACAATTTAAAAATTTCAAAGGCGGAGAGAAAGAAAATATATGTTAACACGCAAAAGGTTGCCAACTTTTTTTTTTATTTATTGGTACAGGTTCAAAAATGCGGTAATTTAAGGCTCCGATATGGTTGCAAATAACTTTTATAGTTTTCATGTTATAACAGTCGTTTATATATCTTTTTATTGCATTATAGTTGCCATTTGCTTTGGTATATAATTTATTTCATAACATATTTTTGGAAAATGCCAATTGGATAGATCGGTAGAATTATTTTCACAGCTTTAAAAACGCGGTAGTTTGAGGTTCCGATATGGCTGCAAATAACATTGACAGTTTTCATGCTATGACAGTCATTTATGCATCATTTTAAAGCATTATGATTGCATTTTAATTTGGTATATCATTTGTGGCACAATGTGTTCGTCTAAAAAATGGTCAATTTGAAGGATCGGTAGAATTATTGTTCTATGTTTAAAAACGCGGTAATTTGAGGTTCCGATATGGTTGCAAATAACTTTGACAGTTTTCATGCTAGGGCAATAGTTTATGCATCATTTTAAAGCATTACAGTTGCACTTTATTTTGGTGTATAATTTGTGGCATAATGAATTTTTACAAAAGTTGGATAGATCGGTATATTTATTGGTACAATTGGATAAATCGGTAGAATTATTTTCCCAGGTTTAAAAACGCGGTAATTTGAGGTTCCGATATGGTTGTGAATAACTTTGACAGTTTTCATGTTATAACAGTCGTTTATACATCTTTTTATTGCATTTTAGTTGCCATTTGTTTTGGTATATAATTTATTGCATAATGTATTTTTAGAAGATGGCCAATTGGATAGATCGATAGAATTATTTTCCCTGGTTTAAAAAGGCGGTAATGTGAGGTTCCGATATGGTTGTGAATAACTTTGACAGTTTTCATGCTAGGGCAATAGTTTATGCATCATTTTAAAGCATTACAGTTGTTGGTTATGGTTGTGAATAACTTTGACAGTTTTCATGCTAGGGCAATAGTTTATGCATCATTTTAAAGCATTACAGTTGCACTTTATTTTGGTGTATAATTTGTGGCATAATGAATTTTTACAAAAGTTGGATAGATCGGTATATTTATTGGTACAGGTTTAAAAATGCGGTAATTCAAGGCTCCGATATGGTTGCAAATAACTTTTATAGTTTTCATGTTATAACAGTCGTTTATATATCTTTTTATTGCATTATAGTTGCCATTTGTTTTGGTATATAATTTATTGCATAATATATTTTTAGAAAATTGCCAATTGGATAGATCGGTAGAATTATTTTCACAGCTTTAAAAAGGCGGTAATTTGAGGTTCCGTTATGGTTGCAAATAACATTGACAGTTTTCATGCTATGACAGTCATTTATGCTTCATTTTAAAGCATTATGATTGCACTTTAATATGGTATATAATTTGTAGCATAATGTGTGTTTTACTAATTGGTGAATTTGATAGATTGGTAGAATTATTGTTCTATGTTTAATAAACGCGGTAATCTTAGGTTCCGATATGGCTGCAATTAACTTTGGCAGTTTTCGTGCTAGGACAGTCGTTTATGCACCATTTTAAAGCATTCAAATTGCCATTTGTTTTGGTATATAATTTATTTCATAATGTATTTTAAGAAAATGGCCAATTGGATAGATCAGTAGAATTATTTTCCCAGGTTTGAAAAGGCGGTAATTTGAGGTTCCGATATGGTTGTGAATAACTTTGACAGTTTTCATGCTATGACAGTCATTTATGCATCAGTTTAGAGCATTATGATTGCACTTTAATTTGGTATATCATTTGTGGCATAATGTGTTCGTCTAAAAAATGGTCAATTTGATGGATCGGTAGAATTATTGTTCTATGTTTAAAAACGCGGTAATTTGAGGTTCCGATATGGTTGCAAATAACTTTGACAGTTTTCATGCTAGGGCATTAGTTTACGCATCATTTTAAAGCATTACAGTTGCACTTTATTTTGGTGTATAATTTGTGGCATAATGAATTTTTACAAAAATTATATAGATCGGTATATTTATTGGTACATGTTTAAAAATGCGGTAATTCAAGGCTCCGATATGGCTGCAATTAACTTTGGCAGTTTTCGTTCTAGGACAGTCGTTTATGCACCATTTTAAAGCATTAAAATTGCCATTTGTTTTGGTATATAATTTATTGCATAATGTATTTTTAGAAAACGGCCAATTGGATAAATCGGTAGAATTATTTTCCCAGGTTTAAAAACGCTGTAATTTGAGGTTCCGATATGGTTGTGAATAACTTTGACAGTTTTCGTGCTATGACAGTCATTTATGCATCATTTTAAAGCATTACAGTTGCACTTTTTTTTGTGTATAATTTGTGGCATAATGAATTTTTACAAAAATTGGATAGATCGGTATATTTATTGGTACAGGTTTAAAAATGCGGTAATTTAAGGCCCCGATATGGTTGCAAATAACTTTTATAGTTTTCATGTTATAACAGTCGTTTATACATCTTTCTATTGCATTTTAGTTGCCATTTGTTTTGGTATATAATTTATTGTATAATGTATTTTTAGAAGATGGCCAATTGGATAGATCGATAGAATTATTTTCCCAGGTTTCAAAAGGCGGTAATTTGAGGTTCCGATATGGTTATGAATTTCTTTGACAGTTTTCATGCTATGACAGTCATTTATGCATCAGTTTAGAGCATTATGATTGCACTTTAATTTGGTATATCATTTGTGGCATAATGTGTTTATCTAAAAAATGGTCATTTTGATGGATCGGTAGAATTATTGTTCTATGTTTAAAAACGCGGTAATTTGAGGTTCCGATATGGTTGCAAATAACTTTGACAGTTTTCATGCTAGGGCAATAGTTTATGCATCATTTTAAAGCATTACAGTTGCACTTTATTTTGGTGTATAATTTGTGGCATAATGAATTTTTACAAAAATTATATAGATCGGTATATTTATTGGTACAGGTCAAAAATGCGGTAATTTAAGGCTCCGATATGGTTGCAAATAACTTTTATAGTTTTCATGTTATAACAGTCGTTTATATATCTTTTTATTGCATTATAGTTGCCATTTGCTTTGGTATATAATTTATTCCATAACATATTTTTGGAAAATGGCCAATTGGATAGATCGGTAGAATTATTTTCACAGCTTTAAAAACGCGGTAGTTTGAGGTTCCGATATGGCTGCAAATAACATTGACAGTTTTCACGCTATGACAGTCATTTATGCATCACTTTAAAGCATTATGATTGCACTTTAATATGGTATATCATTTGTAGCATAATGTGTATTTTTACAAATTGGTCAATTTGATATATCGATAGAATTATTGTTCTATGTTTAATAAACGCAGTAATCTGAGGTTCCGATATGGTTGCAATTAACTTTGGCAGTTTTCGTGCTAGGACAGTCGTTTATGCACCATTTTAAAGCATTAAAATTGCCATTTGTTTTGGTATATAATTTATTGCATAATGTATTTTTAGAAAATAGCCAATTGGATAGATCAGTAGAATTATTTTCCCAGGTTTAAAAAGGCGGTAATTTGAGGTTCGGATGACAGTCATTTATGCATCATTTTAAAGCATTACAGTTGCACTTTGTTTTTGTGTATAATTTGTGGCATAATGAATTTTTACAAAAATTGGATAGATCGGTATATTTATTGGTACAGGTTTAAAAATGCGGTAATTTAAGGCCCCGATATGGTTGCAAATAACTTTTATAGTTTTCATGTTATAACAGTCGTTTATATATCTTTTTATTGCATTATAGTTGCCATTTGCTTTGGTATATAATTTATTCCATAACATATTTTTGGAAAATGGCCAATTGAATAGATCGGTAGAATTATTTTCACAGCTTTAAAAACGCGGTAGTTTGAGATTCCGATATGGCTGCAAATAACATTGACAGTTTTCACGCTATGACAGTCATTTATGCATCACTTTAAAGCATTATGATTGCACTTTAATATGGTATATCATTTGTAGCATAATGTGTATTTTTACAAATTGGTCAATTTGATAGATCGGTAGAATTATTGTTCTATGTTTAATAAACGCAGTAATCTGAGGTTCCGATATGGTTGCAATTAACTTTGGCAGTTTTCGTGCTAGGACAGTCGTTTATGCACCATTTTAAAGCATTACAGTTGCACTTTTTTTTTTGTGTATAACTTGTGGCATAATGAATTTTTACAAAAATTGGATAGATCGGTATATTTATTGGTACAGGTTTAAAAATGCGGTAATTTAAGGCCCCGATATGGTTGCAAATAACTTTTATAGTTTTCATGTTATAACAGTCGTTTATACATCTTTTTATTGCATTTTAGTTGCCATTTGTTTTGGTATATAATTTATTGCATAATGTATTTTTAGAAGATGGCCAATTGGATAGATCGATAGAATTATTTTCCCAGGTTTAAAAAGGCGGTAATTTGAGGTTCCGATATGGTTGTGAATTACTTTGACAGTTTTCATGCTATGACAGTCATTTATGCATCAGTTTAGAGCATTATGATTGCACTTTAATTTGGTATATCATTTGTGGCATAATGTGTTCGTCTAAAAAATGGTCAATTTGATGGATCGGTAGAATTATTGTTCTATGTTTAAAAACGCGGTAATTTGAGGTTCCGATATGGTTGCAAATAACTTTGACAGTTTTCATGCTAGGGCATTAGTTTACGCATCATTTTAAAGCATTACAGTTGCACTTTATTTTGGTGCTAGGACAGTCGTTTATGCACCATTTTAAAGCATTAAAATTGCCATTTGTTTTGGTATATAATTTATTGCATAATGTATTTTTAGAAAACGGCCAATTGGATAAATCGGTAGAATTATTTTCCCAGGTTTAAAAACGCTGTAATTTG